TATCGCCTGCATCGTGGATCATAGATCGTATATCATAGACCATACTATGCCGTATATTATAAACAATACATCCAACATCATAAATCATAGAACGCATTTCACGTGTCTTAGAATTGTGTTGTAATGGGGAGATATGTGCTGCTGTCATATGACTTCACTTTCATTACCAGATCATCCACCAAGACCGACTCGGTGTCTCAATTCATTCTGACTGCTAGTGAGATGTGGACTACATCTTTATGTTTACATGTGTTTTGTGTGTACAACATTGTTTCAAAAATAATCAGTGTCATGTCCTACTTAAAAAAAATATATATATATATATATATATATATACATAATAATCCGACATGTAATGGTCTAAAATATCCTACAGATCAAAGGCGGGCGGTGACAAAAAACTTTTCCATCTCTAAAATTGTACAATTTTTTTTATTTTTTATTTTTTATTTTTTTTACCTCGACGCTACGCAGTCCAGTGCAATTCGGTGTCTAATGCGCCTTACATCCTCCATTGTGAAGTCGAACGGTGGCAGATGACCTCTCACTAAAAGAGACGTGTGTGCAAGCACAAATACTCCGGATTGATTTACGTCCTTCTGTTTGGGGATGCCGTCCACCTCCAATTTCTGTTTGAAGCAAGTGGCGTCCACTTCCATTCCCTGTTCCGATGACCTCTCCTTCACATACCGCGCCACGTTGCTGACTACTTTTCTTGCTACCTCTACGTCTGGTTCCATCGAGTCGTAATACTCGATCACTCTCCGCCTGAGATCCACCACAACAAGTGTCCAATGCTTCTTATGAATGTTGTGATATGAGGCTAAGATCATGTTTTTTTCTGCGATCACCGCCTCCCTGAACCACCTACCAATGTTGTCATAGGTATCCAAAATTTTTATCCAAAAGCTTCAAAAAAAAAAAAAAGTTAAATATCAATGTTTTTGGAATTAATTCGTGTTCGTCCGCAGCGGCGTTGTTTGATGGCGTATTGCACTCGTGATGTGTAGTTCTACATATATTGTCGACCTTTATCATATTCATGTAGAAATTTATATTATCATCGGTTAACCATCTCTTGTCACTCATGAGTACACTCAAATCGTGGTATGTGAACCTTAACTCCTCTTGCGTTCCTAGATTCTTCATGCTTGACAATACTTCGTAATTGTTGAACTTAGTTTCCAAGTGTCGCAAGGCATCTTCTTTGACGTCGGTCAGAGCATGCGTCGCTAATTGAATAGTCCATCCGTGTTTACAGCGGCGTACGTCTTGGACGTCTTATCTTTGTTCCACTGCACATGACAATGAAATTGCTTGTTGTTAACATGTGATCTCATTCAATTACAATCTGCACGTATATGAGGTAATGTTTTTTATAGGTTCAATGTTAAAACTGATATTTCTTTCGAAATTCACGAAATTGAGCGCACAAAAACAACAACATTTTTTAGTGTTTTTCTGCCCCCATGACGTCGGATGATCAGATCATCGGGTGTCATGGCGACACTCGATGATGTGGTCCTTGGATATATGTGGACGGTACTTTACGTTGAGGTACATCAGATGGACAAGTCAAGGTAACCACATTCTCACCCAATGAGCAATGAAATTAAGAAAAAAATATCAGTTTTTAACGAAATGTCAGTTGGAGAGAGAGAGAGAGAGAGAGAGAGAGAGAGAGAGAGAGAGAGAGAGAGAGAGAGAGAGAGAGAAAGAGAGAGAACATTTTTTAGTGTTTTTCTGCCCCCATGACGTCGGATGATCAGATCATCGGGTGTCATGGCGACACCCGATTATCTGGTCTTTAGATATATGTGGTCGGTACTTTACGTTGAGGTACATCAGATGGACAAGTCAAGATAACCACATTCTCACCCAATGAGCAATTAAAAATATCAATTTTTAATGAAACGTCTGATCCGGCTCGAATTAATACAAATAAAACATCGAACAATGTGTTTGTTATTAGAGTATAACTCTCTTTGCGTGCCCCCGCCGCCGCCCCCCCCCACACACACACACACACACATACACACACACACACACACACCACACATACACCTATACACAGACACCCACACACACCTAGACAAACACTACTTATATCAACAAAACTAGTCGTTAAGCCGTATCTTCTTTGCAACGGGTCTCCCTGAACGTCTAGGCACGACATTGTCTGTGGTGTTCCCTTTCCTCGACTTCTCATTGCTAATATCATCCTTCTTTTGGCGGTGTTCCTCTTCCTCATTCTCATTCTGTCTCCCCTCTCTGTCCTCGCTATGCTCTCGCTGCTCACCTGAATGTGTCATGATGTCAATGACATCGTCATCATCTGCCCTCTTACGCTTTTCCTCTTGATGTGACTCACTAATCCGCTGCATACTAACTTCACCACCTTCTTTGAATGTTTCCTCTGGTCCTTGCATAGCACGCAGGGCGTCGCTATCAGACTGCAGCCCAAGCATCAAATCAGGAATGCCCCCTGGCAAACCATCTCTTCCCTCCTGCTGCGGCAATGTCTCTTCTCTTGTCAGCTCAGTTCCTTGCATGGAGCTTGATTCTGTGACCATTTGTGTTCCCGATCCCGTGCAGACCTTAGGGGATGTCATGGTTAGAAAGTGTCCGGCCGACTCTTTGTCCACCATAGATTCTTCTTGGTGCGATGCATGCTGCAATGATTGATCTTCAGCCCTCGTCGTATCTCTTGTTGTTTCGTCCTTGTCACCAACATAAATCTCCATCTTCTCATTCTCCTGAGCGTAGTCATCACTCTGCACTGTGATCACGAGTGGAAGTCCCACTCCACTTGTCGAAGCGTGGCCATCTTCTTCTGCCAATTGTTGACTGCTACCAAGATGTATGTCGCCTTCAAACTCGTGCATCGCTTCGCGACTTGCGAGCTTCCATTGGACATGACAGTTCGACACGCTGGAATCAAGATCGTAAGCTTGCGCTGTACTCGAGCAATTTTTCCCTGCGCAGCTTCTCGAAAAGTGTGTCGGCATATTCCCGTTGTGCAAGACAATCTGATCCATCGTTGGCTTCCTGCACTTTTAGACGAACTTGTTCCCTTGCGATCTCCAAAAACTTGCTCTTCAATAGCCGCTTTCTCAATTTCCACTCACCAGCGATGAACAGAGCCATGTGCCATTTCCCGTTCCACACGCAAAGCTCGAAAAGTGTCGGGTGCCATAATATATGATGGGCCCATTGGTGGTCTTCTGTCTCAACCAATGTCCCAATGTGGCTCAGGAAGTGCGGGCCTCCGGTGAACTCCTTCATATCCTCCCGAATTTTATCCCCCGGCATCAATTTTTCGTCCTCTTCGGGGGGAAGTGTGAACTTGATTGTGCTGTCGTCCATCCCGCCAGGCTGCACATTCTCCTCTCGGAACATATTACAGTGCTTGTCTCTTGGGAGCTTCGACAAGCCCATGCTTGCATATACAGTGTCCAGCTGAGTCAGTATTCCTGGATATTTTACAGTAGTTTCCTTGGCTTTTGATTGGAGCGGTGGTTCATTTTCTCTCGATGATGTCGCTTGTGGCTCCAACCCTTCATTGCGGCTGTTCTTGCTCACATCACATGCACAATCTTGGCCCTGGAGATCTTTTGCTACACTCCGCTTCATTCTCGTGCAGTACAACCTCTGTTCCCCACCACGAATGCTCTCCCGACTTGGGACGACATTTGTTTTTATCCACTCCATTGGCTGACGATCGTCAATGTCCTCCAATGTCTGCTGGACCTCTTCTTGAGCACCCGGCATCGGCAGATCTATATTATCATCTGCACATTTATCAATGAGATGGCGGATTGGACAGGTGCAATCAAAGACTTTCTGGATAAGCGTATTGGTGGTCATTCCACTCCACACCTGTTTAAGCTCTATATGGACGGAGAGAGCCCAGCGATGGTCTACAAAGAACATTGCAATGACAGTGAGTGGTTGTCGGAGGGCGGAGCAATTTATTGGTTCAAGCGGGATCAACAGGGGAGATGGGCGGGGCCGTCATTTCCGTTAGAACCATGTAGCTTAAAGATGAACTTGGACAATGGAGACTTTATCAAAGGTCACCAAGGTGTGAGTGCTTTGGTCAAGGAGTGGAGAGACGAGCGGCCAAAATTTGAGAAACATGAGGATTGGAAACGTTTGCTGAAAACAAGCCGCCTGGAGTACTGGGAGAAAGAGTTAGATATGTTCAATAAGCTGAAAGCGGACAAAAACTCCAAACTTATTCCTCTGTCAACTCCTTTCTAGCCATCGCCTATGATGGAAAGCGTAGAAGAGGTGAAGTTGGAACTGCCCGTTGTCGATTCGCCGCCGAGGAAGCAATGTTTCGTGGGTTATAAGAGTGATGCCTCAAAACCAGAATTCGACCCGGCAAAGCATGTTGATGTCGGTTGTTTTGTAGTGATGCGCGCTCCAGACGAGAATGTAGAGAAAGGAGTTAGTTTTTGGGTAGGGCGTGTACAAGAGATATCACAGGACTCAGAGAAAATTCTCGTGCAGTATTGGAGCCACAAGGCAAAGAGAGCGATATGTACAAGTTGTACGAAGACGCGTGGAACAAAACATGGTGAGTTGAGAACGAATCTTCGCCTGGATGGCGAAGCATAACATGTGTCGCATGGAGATGGAAAATCGAAAAGAAAGGCAAAACTGGATTAAGAATCAGGAAGAGCGACGTAGTGAAGGCGACGAAGTCGCTGACAACAGTAGAACATGCATGCTAAATGCGCAGAATAACTCGTACAACATCTGACGTATGTGGCTTTTGTTTTTCGAAACAACGAAATCATTGCAATCCCGATGGAAAAGAAAATCGAGCAAGCATGGCATCGCCGAGCGGATAAGTGGGGGAAGGTGATTCAGTACGACGAACTTATACCTTATCGGGCAAGGCAAAAAATGACCGCTATCGGCTTGCAGTCAATGGATGAATCCATGTTCTACTCGACACCGGAATTCTGGACGCCAGAGATGCAACGCAAACTTTTCAAACTGGCTAACACATGCGAACCTGCCGCCATGTATAAGAAGGAGGGCATCGGTAAATGGAGAAATGTATATTATTGTTCTGACTGGCTATGTGATTCGCGCTTTTGTGAACGAGGAAGGGTTTTATGTATTGTTTTCGAAGCACGACATGGAATGACACATTGTGCGACACGCATCGATAGAAGCAGACAGTTATCCGACGAAGAAACGAACGATGAAGAATTCTGGATTTTCCGGCACGTGATGCGCTTTTGTAGTGTGATTAGGGACGCAATGTTGCTTTATATTAGCAAAAGAACATGCATTGCTGTTACAAGTGCTACAAAAGTACTTCGTTGGGTGTACACTACAGAAATAGTGCATGAAGCAACTCTGCCAGCGGATGAACGGGCAATCTCGTGGGTTATTGCTCACCTGAACAGGTAGTACATGGTAAAAACAGCTTCGTCTTGACGACGCTCAACCATCCCATAGTCAAGTGGTCGGGTATCATGACGAAGCTCAGCCATCAGATGTTGGGATGATCGAATGGTAGGACAGGATAATAGCTGGATGGTGGGATGATCGGTTGTAGCATGAAAGGATGGTACGCTGGGAGGAAAGCAGTTTGGTAGAATGGTGCAACGACAGGCGATTGGGATGTTAGGGTGGAAGATCGGCAGGGTGGCAGCACGGCAGGATGGCTGAAAGCTACGATGGCGGGTTGGCTGGATGGTAGTGCGGCAGGGTGCAGGGTGGAAATGTAGGAGGATGGTCGAACATCGTGGAGACACTTGACTATCAGATGGTAGGGTGTCATGTCGAAGCTCGACCATCACATGGTAGTATTGTGCGATGTTAGTGGGGTATGGTCGTAGGATTTTTCATTGCTGCGTCGGTGGGATGGCCGACAGGCAGGTAGGCAGAATGCTACGATGGTGGGTTAGGAGGACGGCAGGCTACGAAATGGTAAGATAAAAGGATGGTCGGGTCTTATGGCGAAGGTCGACTATCAGATGGTAGGGTGTCATGATAAAGCTCGACCATCAGATGGTAGGATGGGGGGATGGTCGTGCGGCAGGGTGCAGGGTGGTAACATAGGAGGATTGTCGAACATCATGGAGATGCTTGACTATCAGATGGTAGGGTGTCATGTCGAAGCTCGGCCATCATATGGTAGTATGGTGTGATGTTACTAGGGTATGCTCGTAGGATTTTTCAGTACGGCGCCGACGGGATGGCCGGCAAGCAGGTCGGCAGAATGCTACAGTGGTGGGCTAGAAGGACGGCAGGCTGCGGAATGGCAAGATAAAAGGATGGTCGTATGTTATGGCGAAGCTCGACTATCAGATAGTAGGGTGTCATGACGGAGCTCGACCATCAGATGGTAGGATGGGGGGATGGTCGTGTGGCAGGGTGCAGGGTGGTAACATAGGAGGATTTTTCATTACGGCGTCAGCGGGATGGCTGGCAGGCAGGTCGGCAGAATGCTACAATGGTGGGCTAGGAGTACGGCAGGCTGCGGAATGGCAAGATAAAAGGATGGTCGGATGTCATGGCGGAACTCGACTATCAGATGGTAGGGTGTCATGACGAAGCTCGACCACCAGATGGTAGGATGGGGGGATGGTCGTGCAGCAGGGTGTAGGGTGGTAACGTAGGAGGATTTTTCATTACGGTGTCGGCGGGATGGCCGGCAGGCAGGTCGGCAGAATGCTACAATGGTGGGCTAAGAGGACGGCAGGTTGGGGAATAGCAAGATAAAAGGATGGTCGGATGTCATGGCGAAGCTCGACTATCAGATGGTAGGGTGTCATGACGAAGCTCGACCATCAGATGGCAGGATGGGGGGATGGTCGTGTGGCAGGGTGCAGGGTGGTAACATAGGAGGATTTTTCATTACGGCGTCGGCGGGATGGCGGCCAGGCAGGTCGGCAAAATGCTACAATGGTGGGCTAGGAGGACGGCAGGCTGCGGAATGGCAAGATAAAAGGATGGTCGGATGTCATGGCGAAGCTCGACTATCAGATGGTAGTGTGTCATGACGAAGCTCGACCATCAGATGGTAGGATGGGGGGATGGTCGTGCGACAGGGTGCAGGGTGGTAACATAGGAGGATTTTTCATTATGGCGTCGACGGGATGGCCGCAGGCAGGTCGGCAGAATGCTACAATGGTGGGCTAAGAGGACGGCAGGTTGCCGAATAGCAAGATAAAAGTATCGTCGGAAGTCATGGCGAAGCTCGACTATCAGATGGTAGGGTGTCATGCTGAAGCTCGACCATCAGATGGTAGGATGTGGGGATGGTCGTGCGGCAGGGTGAAGGGTGGTAACATAGGAGGATTTTTCATTACGGCGTCGGCGGGATGGCCGGCAGGCAGGTCGGCAGAATGCTACAATGGTGGGCTAGGAGGACGGCAGACTGCGGAATGGCAAGATAAAAGGATGGTCGGATGTCATGGCGAAGCTCGACTATCAGATGGTAGGGTGTCATGACGAAGCTCGACCATTAAATGGTAGGATGGGGGTATGGTGTGTTTGCGGAATGCTGGGATGACCGATTGTGGGATAGGAGGATGGTGGGATGGTCAGGCAAACCCGATGAACTTGTGCATGTCAACAATCACTGTAGTGACGACGCTCGACTACCAGATGGCGGGATGGTACAAAAAACATAGACAAGTTCTACATGACGGCCATGTGTGCAAGGGGGACGCTTCATCATCGGATGGTGGATTGTCGTAACAAAGCTCAACCATAAGATGGTAGAATAATAGGAAGACAGGATGATTTGTTTGTGGGATGATGAGATGATCGGTTGTAGGACGATGGGATGATTTTGCGGAAGGATGATACTTGGGTGCGCTGATGGGATTCACTTACAATCCCGAGGGTTTGACAAACTTATCAAAGTTGTATATTGGGTGTGTTGCTGGTTATAAAGGGATCGTGGGAAGAGTCATAATGGGTTCCTATTTTGAATACAGAGAAGAGGAAACACTTATAATGGTTATGTTAACCATATATTGATTTATATGCGTATTTGTAATGTGAGTTGGCCTCTTAATCATAAAGGGGGGGG